AAGGCAAAAGCTGTAAACCCAGTCAAGATTATTATATGAACTTCTGGAGGGGATATGGAAATAATTGAAGTATATTATATATTATTAATTGTTATAGTATGTGAATGGTGGTAGCATTGGTCTCTGGGGTGGTGGGGGCACTTTATTATTTACTTTTTTATTACTGTGTTTTTGTTATGCTATATTGTTATTGTGATGTATTGTATTATTTTTTTTGTCTTAAAAAAAATAAAAAATGGGCGGGGGGGGGGGGAAGAACGCCAAAAGGCAATTGCTATAACAAAAAGAAATTAAAGAAACACAATTCCTCAAGTTAGGAAAGAAGCAAAAGCAAAAGGTAAAGAAATAGGGTCAAAATCCCAAATACAATTTTTCAGCAACAAAAGAGGAGAAACAAGAGATCATCTCCAGAAGATCCAAGAAATCAAAGAGAAATGCATGTGGTAGGCATGTCGTGAGCAGAGCCAGGGGTCAGACTTGATGGCCTGGAAGACCCTTTCTGACTTGCTCTGTTTCTATGTTCTATGTTTCTAAAGAGAAATTGAAATTTAGATTAGGAAACCTGAAAGACAACAGGGGAATCTTTTGAAGAGGAATGCTCTGAAAAAGAATCCCTAATATTAGAAAGTGAAGTGAAAGCTGCTCTGAAAGCACTTGGAAGAAAAACAACACCAGGAGTAGATAGACTATCAAAAGAACTATGCAACAGATCTATGCAATAGACACTTCAAGCAGGTTTAATGGGTCAGCAATTTTAATCCACAAACAACTTTTTTTCAGTTCAACAAACCATAATTGGTTCTGATAATCAGTTTTTGATTTTGGTTGAAAAACACAAGAAGAAAGTAGAAGCTCTGATTAATCTGTATGGGCCTAATAATGACTCTCAGCCATGTTTCATGGATGTTTTAGTCAACTGTATGTAATTTACTGATGTATATTTCACCCATTTTCATACCTTCCTCTGATCCTAATCCAGTTATTCTTATGCTACATTCTGCTTACAAATTGAACAGATAAGGAGATAAAATGCACCTTGTCTATAGGAAAACATTCTGTTTCTGCATATTCTAAAAGTCAGGTCCAACCCCCAGCTCAATGCAAAACTCAGGTCTCCCATCCGAATTTTAACCAGCTGTGACCCTGCTTAGCTTCCAAGATTAAGCAGGATAAGGCACTTAAGACTATACAACAAAGAAAGTGAAATTGTGAAAGATATGCCCAATCATCAATTCAAATGTGGATTGCAGCCAAGAAAGGAGAAGATTGATATTTGAAAGGACAGCAATGAAGACACTAGGAAAGATAATCAAGGCCAAGACCATCTACACAATTATATTCTCAATCACCATATATGGGTGTGAAAACAGCACTATATTGCAGTGTGAAAGCAGGACTGTGAAGAAAACTGACAGGAAGAAAACTGATGTGTTCAAACCATGTTCCTGGAGGAGAGTTTTGAGAATACCCTGAACTTACAGACAAACAAAAGCATGCTAGATTAAATCAAGCCAGAAATTTCCCTAGAAGCAAAAATGACAAAGCTGAAGTCGTTATACTCTGGGCACACCAAGAGAAAGCAAAACTCCCTGGAGAAGACAATCATGCTAGGAAAAGTCAAATGCAGAAGAAGAAAAGGAAGAACAAGTATGAGATGGATTAACTCCATAAAGGAAACCAGAGCATTTTGAACATTTTAGATGACTTTCCCACACCTCAACACTGAGATCAGAATCACAAGCTTCACAACAACAAACCTTTGTAGACAAGCACAAAACATTTACCAAAGCATAAAAACAAGCATCTACTACACATATGTCATATGTCAAATATACATCGGCTACTGGATTGCACCAAAGAATTTCAGAAGATAATTAATCTATGCTTTATAGACTATGACTGTGTTGATTATGGTCCTGAAAGGAATGGCTGTGCCTCAGCACTTGATTATCCTGATGCATAACCTTTGTAATATGGCCAAAAAGCTATTGTTAGGGCAGAATATGAAAAAACAGAATGATTTCCTATAAGCAAAGATGTTAGGCAAAGGTGTATTTTATCACCCTATCTGATGGCAGAGAATGAGGTGGCTAAGATGGAGTCACTGAAGCAGTTGGCATGAGCTTAAGTGGACTCCGGGGGGATGGTGGAGGACAGGAAGGCCTGGAGGAATGTTGTCCATGGGGTTGCGATGGGTCGGACATGACTTCGCGACTAGCAACAAAATCTGTTCCATCTGGACACAGAGCATATATCATAAGGAGAGCTGGATTAGGATCAGAGGAAGGAGTGAAAATGGATACAATATACATAATTCAAGATACGCATAAGCTACAATATTACTAGCAGAAACCAACAATGAATAAAAAACAATCCTATTGAAAGTGGAAGAAAAAAGTTCAAAAACTGGACTGCTGTTTATTATGAAGATGACAAAAAACATGTCTGTGGAAGAATTATACAACATTAATGTCAAAAAGGAAGAAATTGAAATTGTGAAACTTTTTGCCTATCTTGGCTCAGTCATCAATCCAAATTCTGCAGCCAAGAAATTAGAAGACTGAGACTTGGAAAGGCTGAGATAAAAGAACTAAAAATGATCATTGAGCATAAGGACATTTCACTGGAGACCAAGGCCAAGACCATCAACACTATTATTTTTCCAACTACTATGTATGGGTGTGAATGCTGGACCCTGAAGAAAGCTAAAAATGGATACATTCAAAATATGGTACTGGAGAAAAAGTTTGTGAATACTCTTGTCTGACAGAGTATGAACAAGTGGGTACTAGTTCAAAACAAGCCAGAACTTTCCTTAGAAACAAAAAGATAAAACTGAGGTTATCATATCATATCAAGTTTTACAAGGAAGTAAAACTTCCTGGAGAAGACAATCATGCTAGGGAAAATCAAAGGCAAATGAAAAAGAGGAGGAAGACAAAATATGAGATGGATTCATTCCATAAAGGAAGTCACAGTCCTGAGCTTGCGAAAGCTGAGCAGGATTGCTAAGGACTTTTTGAAGGGCATTCATTCACAGGGTCAATGTAAGTCGGACATGACTTGATGACACATAACAATAACAGACTACATATCTGGGCCCTGCACCAGCCACCACCATGAGGCAGCAAATGCCACAGTCCAGAGGTACTGGAGGATCGAGTAGGGCTGACACTGGTTCTGACATTTCTTTCTCTCTCAAAGTGCTAAGTATCCCCTCTGGCCAGTATTGCTGACCCACGTAAAACAGTTTAAAAGCAGAACATGAGAACATTTTATGAAAACTAACAAGCACATTGCCTGATAAGTTCATGAGGATGAAAATCAAAGTTGTGTGGAGGACAACAATCACTAAAACTTGGTGTGGACCCTCCCCATATATTACACATGTACTTTATAATTTACTGAGCTATTGTCAGGATCAAAACCTAAGTAGCCCTGTAAGTGCCTGCAGAACCAGGAACATCTTTGCAGATGCTTACAGGTAACAGCTAAGGAATGATTATGCAGTGTAACTGGAGGTTCTGGAGACCAGCATAAAAGGTTGCAATGCAGCGCTGCTGTTTGCTATAGCAATATGTGTAGTCTTGGTGACTCTTTTATGTTCTTGTGTCCTGTCCCTGCTTCCCAGATACATGCACCCATCCTCCCTGACCTCACTTTACTCTGGAATGTGACTGTCTTTCTGAAACTGGACTTTTGGACTGTGCTCTTGGATTGTGTTATCTTGGGCTCTGTTTGCATGGATCTATTATCTCACTGGTTTTTGACTCAGGAACTTTAAACAAATGTGCTCTTGTATCTGGCACTCTGAACCTGCTGCAGGACTAACCTACACCTGTGCCCTGGTCCTGGCATCTTGACCATAGGTGCTTGCTGTCCATGCTGGGGACATTACACTTTGCTGTGGCAAAAAGCAATGCAGTCTTTGATGTGCCCCCCAAGCCCTCTAGCTGCAAAGCGTAATTGTTCCTTAGCTGTTTCCTGCAAAGGTACTCCTGGTTCTGCAGGCACCAGCAGGGTCACTCAGCTTTGATCCTGATAGTTATTCAACCACGAGTAATTAATTCACATCTGTGTGGGTGGCTACCATCACCTAAATTTAGGTGTGAAAATTAATATGAAGATCATTTATGCAAGTTATTCTGCACTGGGTCCAAGAAAGATACATTTTGCCTTCCCACTTCTAGCAGCTAGTTGAAATTAAGTCTGAATGAACTGGTATGGTTGGGAGTGGGAAAGTAGAAGTGTGCAACAAGCAGGAGGGGTGGCTTCAACTTTATAAGCAGCTAAGGATATTGAGGAAAGGAAGAAAGAAGAGGATTTACAAGGCTGAGAGAGAGATTGGGAGGGAGCACTAACATTTTTGGAAAAAGCAGACTCTGGGAAAGAATCAGTTGCTTTGGAGGAAGGAGGGACAGACAGTCTTGGGTTTCGGAAAAGACAGTTGAACTAGTTCTATCCCCTGACATAAGTGAGAATGCTTTGGTTTGGGAGTATCTTGTGAGGGTTCTCAGGCAGTCATAGGATTAACTAATATACTAGTTACAGGTCTCTAATTGTATTTCAGGGACAATCATGAAGTGCAAAAATATTGTTGAGGTTCACACAAGATCTTTTTGGATTTCTGTGAATGTGATTTGTTTGCTTGATTCTGAAGATTATACAAATAGTTTTGCTGTCAATTTAAGAAGAAACATAGCAGAAAAACATTCTGTTCTCACTGGAACCAAGTTAACAGGTATTTCAGAAATGAAGGTAGATAGTTCAAGCCCAACAACATTAGGTAGTATTTGGTTTATTTTCTTCACATGAATTCCAAAAACATTTAACAAATGTGGGTAATTCCACAGTGGGTTAGCTTTATTTAAAGGGAATACTGTAATCATTAATACAGCCTATTCTCTGCTGTAATTATAAAATGGCTTACATTGTTTATAAAAACATTACGTTCAGCTTAAAAACTAACACTACTGTATATACTTTAAAAAAGGACATACCCTCTGCTTCATCCAAATTAATTTTCTGACACAATTTTTTCCCAGTCTGTGCAATATATTCTTCTCTTTTTGCTAGACGAACATCCCTAGAGCTTTTTCCACTTTCTCCTTTTATTTTAATAGAATTAGACTTTCCTAGATTTCTTTCCTCTCCCTGCATTAGAATGAAAGTCAACTTACATTTATGGAACACTACAAAGTGGATGTAACAAGTTGTTCATGAATAGCATTTACTTCATGAAAAGAGTTGTGGTAAAACATGCATTCTCAGAGAATCATAAATAAATATATAAATATATCTGCATATCCCAAAACAGTTGACTGGGATTGCTAGTTTGTGCCCACATATTTGGGTCAACTTATATCCACTACTGCAAGGAACTTCCCACAGCAACCGCCCACATACACAACAGCCGCAGAAGATTGTAAACACAGCATTGGTAGAAGTGAGCTGAGCACTACTTGACACTTCCCTTTCTAAGCCTTTGTAGCCCTGTAGTGGAGAAAATAGCTGGAAAAGCATGTTTTCCCTCATATTCCACTTTAGATAACATGACCCAACAACAGAGCAAAGGGCAAACATGGGTAAAAAAAGAACATAAGAGATTAACTAAAATGAACTTCCTGACAGTTAGGACCCAAGGGTATGGAATGGGTTTCTACGGGAGGTGGCTGAAGCCCCACTGGTGAACGTGTTCAAGGACAGGCTGGACATGCACATGGTAGGCATGCCCTGAGTGGAGCTGGCTGGAACTGGGGGCCAGACTAGATGGCCCAGGAGATCCCTTCTGACTTGCTCAGTTTTTATGTTTCTATGAATGCTAAGCAAATACAATTATACATCTGGGGTATTCTTTTCATCCACCATGTCCAATTTGGGAAGCAGGATCAAAGTTGGAGAATAATTAAAGTGAAAAGTATTACAGAAAACTTACTGTAAGTGCTTGATTTCCTGCATAAGAAGTTGACGTTGCACCTTGTTTTAATAATGCACACTTTCCTTGGTCTGTGAATGATATATAAGAAAGAGAAAACTGGTTGTTTAATGTAACACACATTTTTATGTAGTAGTTGTTAGATGATCATGAATGGCAGAAAATGTTGGTTGGCATCTCAAACTTTCTAGAATATATCCCTGCAGATTTTCACAGCCTAGATCAATGAGAATCAGTTCATGTGTTAGGGACTAGGGAATAGCGAGGTCTGTAGGGGACAGAGCTGTGCATATCCCAGCTCAACATGTTTGCCTCCTTCTGACCTTCCAACTGGGAGTCTTCTCCATGCATTCACTTAAATGTGAGAAGTCTTTGTGTCATCTGGAATCCCAAAAACCAGGAATGGGCAGAGACCTCTACTTATAATCTAATTTAATTTAATTTAATTTAATTTAATTTAATTTAATTTAAACATTTCTATGCCGTCCTTTGCAATAAGCCTCAGGACGGCTTATATGAAAGTTAGTGTGTAGAACCTTTGGCTCTTCTGGCTCAGAACCTTTAGACTTTTCCGTTCTATGCAGGAAGGTTGCAGGCAGGGGCAAATGAGGATATTAAGGTAGGAACTGTAGCTGAGGGCCCAGGCAACCTGCATGTATTAATATTCACTGTTCAGATAAAATGCCTAAATACACAATCGGAGGTTCTAGAGAAACAAGCATAAACTGGATCATGTCCATACTTGTTGATGATAGCCAGAAAACAAGCTGTTTTGTTTGTTCTGGAGTTTTTGTTGGTTGCTTCCCACTAGGAGGCAAGGTACCACAAGACTGTAAATCATACCTTGATTTTATTTCCAACTTTCAGTATTTTATTTCCAAATTTCCCTTCTTGGAGCAGGAAAGAGCTCACTTCAGTGGTTTTAGTTTTATCCAGGGTTTAGCACATTCTCACAAACTTAGATCACTGAACTGCTCAGCTTCAGTGTTTCTTATACAATCACTAGCTTTGTATAAACATTCTAATTTCCCTGGGAAGTTTTTCTTGAAGGGGTGTTCAAGGAGTGTAGATTCTTGAAACAGCCTAAGACCCCCAATCTTTCTGGTGCCATGTGCTTCTAGCCCTTTTAGCAGCAGAAGAGTAAAGTGGGAGCATCACAAATGGAAATGCTAATTTCAAGCTCAGCCAGTGCTCACAAACATCCTATAGTCAAATATTACTGAGGCAGACTAGTAATGTAACTAACCAGCTACCTAGTGGGGACTAGAACCAAGGTCGCCCAAGACCAGACCTGTGCGCCTAGCTACTACATCACACTGGCTCTCATCCACTCATATAAGCTCACACACTCCTCAGTGAGCATCCACTGTTCTCTCATTTTTGACTATACTGTGTATTGTGTGAATTCTCTTGCCCATTGCTTCAAGTTGTGAACTTTCTATTGAATGCACATCAATTGCCTGGAAAAGAGAATCCTCCTAATCATTCAGAGGATCCTTCCATTTCATCCAGATGGAGCATCCTGCAAAGATTCGAGCCCCAATATCTCTTGCATGAAGGAGATTCCTTGCCATCCAATACATCTTTGGGAATAGTAAAGAAAGATTTGCTCTCCTCTTTAAAGAAATCCTCCCCATCACATGTACAGGCTCAGACTAGGCAAACCTCCTTCCCCTGCTCTTTCTAGGGTACATATAAGACAGTGAAGATGCAGATTGAGGTGTCTGTCTGGAGCAAAAGGAAGAGGGTGAGAAACGTCCACTTGGAATTATTAGGCCCATGCAGTTACAGTGGTTCCGTTGGGGCAAGGGAGTATAGCCCTGCTAGTCAAACAGCTAGTATAAAAAGGTCAGCTAAAATGGTTAAGGGAACAAACCACTCCACTATGAATGAAATGTGCAACATCTGAGACAATTTAGCTCAGAAATTTTATGTATCAGTATGCACTTGGTTGGGTGGCACAAAGCCTGGAATTTGCAGCACAAAGTCAGCACAAAATTTGGAGGTGATCTGACAAATGTTACAAATCCCAATTTTTCATAACTCCCTTTAAGGGTATGTTATTTCCACACTTGGGATTTATGGTACCAACCTAGAACAAAACTTGGACTGAAGTTTGAAGATGACATGAGGTGGTAGTGGTGGTGGTTGTTTTAAACATTCATCATGCTTTTAACGTTCACCCAAGGCTATGTTCCACTGAACTAAATAATAGGAACACAAAAGCTGGAATTTGTACCATAAAACAAGTGAAAACTGACATGGAATTTCAGTGTAGCTTTGAAGGTGATATGAAAATGTGGGGGGTTTATCTGTGTTTAACTCTCACATTAGATGTGCCAGTACACAGTTGTGGGTAGTGGTATAAATTCTGGAATTTGTGCCAAGAAATAGCATAAAACATTGGCATAGGTTTGGACGTGATGCAAGAATATGGATTTCTTAGTATCTGTGAGGTCCTAATTAAAGGTATTTCATTTTCATGCTTTCTTCTGCAGCACAAAATTCAGGATTTGTGGAACAAAATTGGCATGCATCTTTGGCATACATTAGGGGGTGATACAAGAATATGGATTTGTTCAGCATTTGTTAGGACCCATGTAAGGGTATGCCATTTTCACAGGTTTGGTGGCAGACAAAACTCAGGAGCAGTGGCAGAAAATAATACAACACTAGCACAAAATTTTGTTACAGGTTTGGAAAAAATATGGTAGTGTTGTTGTACGTGAATATATGTGCACGCATGTATGTTACTAAGAATGAATCCTCATTTATTACACATAGGGAATGTATATATCATGCTTGAGGGCATCACAAAATCTGGATTCTTGGCAAAAGTAACATAACATTTTGACATCTGATTGGAGGAGAGGGAGTGTAGTGAACAGCCATATCTGATTTGTGCACAAGTACAAGAATCCTACTTAATCCAGGTGTAGATGGTGTTCATGTTACTTTTAATACACAACTCTATAATGTACACTGTTATATTAAGGGGAGATTTACACTAGAGCCCCTTATGTTTATGAGGGAACACAGTTGCAGTATTTACGCAAAACACATTTTATCATAGTTGGGTCACACATTAATACATTATAATTCGAAAACACTAGTTTGTGTCACAAACAAATGCAATTGTTGGAGATAATGGAAAAGTTGGAAAAGGGATGTGTGTAAGGAAATGACCCTTTAAATTTCCTTTGTTAAGAGTATGTGTGTTTACATCAATTAGCTGTGAGAAGGTGCGAAAGCTTGGATATATTGTATAAAGGATGAAAAAACTATGACAGCTCCTGTTGCCTCTCATAAAAAAAATAACCAAGAAGGGGAAAAGGTGCTGCAGCATGCTCCTGTGCTCCTAGCCCCCATGGGGTGAAGCCTGCAAGACCAGCAGCACTCTCATTCCCTTCCACCCAAAAGCAAGTATAACTCCCTCCCATGCTGACTTTCCCACAAGTTACCTCTACTGAAATTAATGTGATTTAATTGTGATTAAAGCCATTGAAGAGAGTTTGATTTACTACTGAGTAAACATGCATTTCTACTACTTGTTTCTTAAGTAAAAGGACAAAGGAGACCACTGGAAATGGTTGAAAAAGACACTGCAAACTTTTTTTTTAAAGGAAGAGAGAATTTACAAGTCAGAGAGAGAGAGAAACTGTGGTGGTGGGGGTAGACAGGAAAGCAACCGAAGATCTCAGAGTTGCTATTGTTGTGCCAAAGCCCTGATAGGACACATCCTCTCCCCATCACTACAACCCAACAGCCCACTGAAAACATTTATTATTTATTTATTTAAATTTTTTGTATGCTTGGCATCTCAGGATGGCTTACAATCATTAGAACAACCACAGTAAAACAGCAATCTTAACATAATAAATAACAATTAACCCCCCCAAAATATAAATTAAATAAGTTAAATAAAAGCAACTGTTAAACATTAAAATTTAAATTACTTCTTAAAATAACAATTAAATAACAAGTTTTTAACCTGGTGCCAAAAAGAATATAAACTCGGCACCAGGTGAACCTCTCTGAGAAGTACATTCCACAATCTGGGCGCCACCACAGAGAAGGCCTTCCCCCAAGTAGATATCCTTTTTACCTCCTTCAAGAAGGGTTCTCAGAGCAGGACCTCTCCCACAGATCTTAAGAGGCGTGAGGGCATATAATGAAGGAGATGTTCTTTCAGGTATCCTGACTCCAAGTCTTTCAGGGCTTTATAGGTCAAAACCAGCACCCTGAATTTGGCCCAGACTTCAACTGGAAGCCAGTGGAGCTGATAGAGGACCAGTGTTATATGAGAATAACAACCAGTCCCCGTTAGCAACCTGGCTGCTCTATTCTGTACCTGTCCATTCCTCGTGGCCTCACAACAGTACAAGTTTAGCACACTCTGATATGCCCCCCCCCCACACACACACACACTGTATATAGTGTGAGAAGTATGCACTGGGAGAGGGATCATGTGATACATCAATGAGTCAGGCACTGCAATCCCAATAAAAATGCTTAGCAGAACTTAGATTGTCCCAATGGAGTGTTGAGGGCTCCACCACAAAATAGAACCAATCAGTGTTATCTGTGTTTGTCTGTGTGCACGCTGTGTGTGTGCTACCCATTGTGACTTCTCTTTGTCTAGCTCCTCTTGCTCCCCATACACTTCTGTCTCTTTAGGGCATTTTTTCTTTCTCTCCTACACCCAAACTGATTCCTTTTCTCTTTCTCAGTCCTCTTATTATACAGCTTTTTAGCTCCTTCCTCCCTCCCATATATATCCTCAGACTTGCCCTCTTTTCCTTCTTTCTGGTGCCTCTTCCCTCTTTTTCCAGCTCCTTCCTCTCTCTCTGCCTGATGTTCTTCTCTGCCTTTTGTTCTTTCCCGTCTTCCTTCTGTCTATCTGATTACTCTTTCTTCATATTTCTGGCTTTTCTCCCCCATCCCTTCCCTGCACTGTACGCCTTCCCCACTGGCTTGCATAAATAGTGGAAAAAACCCTCCCCCAGAAACCAGCTGGATGGAATGAGTCTTTTGCTATATTTACGTAACAAGAGAGGTAACAAATAGCATGGGCTAACTTTGTGCCAGATATAATGCTAGAGGAAGAAGGGAAAGAAAACAAAATTCATTATATATATGTGCGTGCACATACATATGCACACAAACACAGACACAGACATGCACCTTACTCATTACTAAGCCCTATGCCTCTAAAAAGGGGATGAGAATTAGGAACTCCAATGGCCATAAATTGTAGTCTTATTATTCAGAAGTAATCCTTATAACAGGACTGTACAAATTCTAACTCCCATCCAATATTTGCTTACTCAAATGTAAGAAAAGCAGCATTAAGCCAGGAATCAAGTATAAAAACCAAGTTTAAAAACATTTTCAGAGAGTTGCAATAAATGTCTGAACTGGTGTGTACAGGTTTCAAATATACATCTATAAGTAGGAGGACTTGCAATTAGAGAGGGTGTGATCTTTGTTTTTGTTTTAAGTGAAAGCCTATCACTTCTGAAAGAATTTCCAAATCCTACAAGTACCAAATTACTTGCAAAATTCTATGCCTCAGTGCTGCCTGAATTCCTAACCATCTTATTTTCGAATGCTTCACTTCTAGGAATGTGAAGGGAAGATGCAAGAGAATAATATAAAATGACAGCTTACCTTTTCCTTTTTTTGGTATTCTTTCATCTAGAATAACCCGTTGTCCATCCAGATTAGAGATAGGAACTCCAAGGTCTAATAGTTCTTGCTCACCATTCTGTGATGAAATTTTGATACAATAAGACAGAATAGTTTCAGAACAGCTTGAACTATGGTTTGGCATTTAAAAAGTCATTATGTGACAAATAATTACATATCTGGAAGGATAGGAATATAAATTATATTTACTGATTATTTACCTCGGGACAGCTCACACAAATAAATAAATTACCTTGTGGCCATAAGTAATCTAAACACTGAATTGCGTGTGTTTAAACATTACAGTCTTAAAATTTATATTTGAAAGATTATTCCATTTAGGGTATTTTGGGAGTTGTAGCACTTCTGAGTGTGTTAAGTATGTGTAAGATTGTGTAGTTAGTCTTAAATTTGATAGAAAATAAAATCTAGGTCAGAAGTAAGATTTTTACTTTGGCGGATGTCTGGATTAAACTTAACCAAGGAATAATCAAAGATGGTTCCAATTTGGCATTTCAGTGGCATTTACATCAGTTTGAAGAAAGATGGCACATCAAGTTTTGTCAGCTGGGACAGTATCTACTTGTACTAACACAATTTACATAGGTACTGAAGGATCTGGTCTCTACTGTCCTCTTCTGAATGTGTTATAATTAAAGGGCCTTTTTTTCCTATGAAGGGCCATTGACCCATACAAAAGTAAATCAGTGACTGCAATCAATGATATCTCAGTGGATGTGCATTCTCTCCCTCCCTCTGAGTGTGCCTAGACATGCATGAGAATTTTTGTATGTTAACTTTTATTTGAACTTGATTGGTAAAGACTTGTGTCCTGCTGCATTTATAATACTCACCTTGAAATAAACATGCAAGTTAAAACTCCATACATATTTACTTCCCAAATTTGTAACAATATGTATTTAGTTTGTCTGCAGTAAGGCAGTAAGCAGGATTTTTCTGTGTACTGGTTTCTCGGTGCCAATAGGTTTGCATTGTTTTGCACTGATGGTACATCTACAGACCCAGGCATGTTGCCAACTGCTTTTGACCTGTGCCTCCAATGAATCCATACCAAGTTCACACAACAAAATAGCCATGGTCAAATCCTAGCACGGTAGGATGTTTTTACCCATAGCTAAGGCACAGTACTTCTACCAGATGATCAAATACAAAGCAGCTTGTTTTTTTCAGGTTATTTCCCTCTCCTCCTAGCACATATCCCTGGACCCTTTGCAGCAGAAAAGAATAGAAACTGCTGGCAAGGCTTCAGCACATCAGCCGTCTGTTCACAGGCATGTATTAACCCTGACCTGCTCTCAGGAATGCTTGTCCTGTCCTGATGAAACACTTCCCTTGAAGTCCTGTTTTATCAGAACAATTTTCCCCCCACCCCACAATGTTCTGTTCTCGATGGTGCCTTGCATGAGCAGTAAAATCAGGGTCAGTGGTGGAAGGAACTGTGGGACTGAATCATCCCACCGCCCTCCTGCTGTGACACTATCCTCTGCCCCTTCACTTCCCTGTTTCCATTCTGCCTTCCTGCTAGCAGTGGCACAGAGGTCTTTTCTTCACCCACATGCCCTCTTCCTCTCTTCCATCCACCTTCCTCTGGCACGTCAAAGTGCCCACTACTCCATTACTTCTAACTCGTCCCTTTCGTGACTAATGATAAGATGCAGGGTTACAAGCAGTCTTTGAGGCAGCAGTGTTTTGTCATCCCCCAACTGGCAGTGGAATAGAGCTCAACTCCTCTCACTGCCCTCTTTAATCTACAGCCCTGACCTTCCCTCTTCACTTCTCCTAAATTAGCTGGTCTTTTGTTGAAACTAGGGGTGAGAGAGAAATCTGTTTTGGGGAGTGAGTATTTGTGGGATTCCCGGGGCTCAGGTCTCTGGACTCTAGGCCACTGCCCTGAGCCTGCAAGATCTGTAGCCCAGCATCAGCAGAACACTTATCAGGAATATACTGCACAAGCAGAGTCCCTCTTCTGTGCCACGTGCAGCAGCTTTTATTTGTGCTGCTGCACATGATACAGAAGAAGGTTGCTGGCTACACAAAGTTGTTCCTTGACCATTTGCAGACTTCCTCTTGGCTTGGCTCATTTTCTCAGATTGGGCGGAACGTGAGAGGAAGTCCATGAATGCTAGAAGGATGGATTCTACTAAGTTGTCCAAAGCCTCCTGGAGCTCCTGTTCCATACCCCTCCCGGCAGTTGGAGATCCTGGCTATCTCAGAGTCTGCCTGAACACCTGGAGAGTGTGGCCTTGAGATAAGCTCCTCTGCTTCTCCCATCTCAATATCTGAAGGGCCAGTTTCCCAGGGCCCATCCTCCCCTTCTGAAGAGTCTAAATCTTCCTGGCCTTGAAACTTGTGTCAAGCACAACTACCTCTTTCATTCCCAACACCTATCCCCCATCCCACAGTGCCTTCCTCAGGGATAAGTACTGTTTCCTCACTGACTTCTGATGGAAATGAGAATGGAAGTGTCTAATCAAGGTAGGGGTATGGAGATGTTCGGCAGGGTTCTAAGACTGGTCCTCAGGACCGTATTCCTTTCAGTCCACCAAATATGCAGCTGACTGTGATGGAAATGAAAGTCCAAAATGTCTTGCACTTCAAACTCCTCCCTGCCACAAACAGTGGGTGGACACATCTTTTAGGAGTAATAAGGGTGTCTGGAAGCACAGGGGACAAAAAGGAATAGTGAAACACTGGGTGTATCTTCATGGAAGGGGGTAGCAATAGTTTGAACTGTGCCTGAATTTGAAACAGCCTGGTGTAATCGAGATATGGTAAAGATTATAAAATGTGAGGTTTTTATAAGGAGTTAACAACAGTGACCAAGCGATCTTAAAATCAGTTGAAAAAATGATTATATGTATAATTTTCTTTTGGATATGAGAATGGAAGATGAACAAGTTAAGAAAACTATGATAACATGGGCACAAAATTTTGGATATAATATTGAGTTACAGAAATGGCAAAAGTTGTGGGAAACAAATATCAAGGTAACCTTAGCAACCTCATATAAAGAAAATCTTTATAAAATGTTTTATAGATGGTACTTATCGCCAAACAGATTAGCAAAGATGTTTCCAAATATGTCAAATGGATGTTGGAAATGCAAACATAAACCGGCTACTTTTTATCATATGTGGGAGACTTGTGATAAGGCAAAAAAAATATTGGGCTAAAATACATAAATGGCTTGAGGAAATGTTACAAAAATCTTTAATATTTAAATCTGAAGTCTTCTTACTAGACATTGTGCTTGATGATGTTGATAAACAAGCAATGTATTTGATTCTACATGTAATTACTGCAGTAAGGATTGTATTTGCCCAGCACTGGAGGAGTGAAGAACCACCCACTGATGAACTGATTTAAAAAAAGATTCTGGACTGTGCTGAAATGGACAGGCTGACTTTGTCTCTGAAGGAGAAAGAGGATACATACTTCTATCAAACTTGGAACTCTTTTTATTATTGGCTAGAGAAACGGGACTATGCGTAGATTTGAATATGCCTATGGATTGCTATAAAAAAAAGGGGGGCTGACCCAGTAGGTCTGATGTCTCTGATGATTGATGTTTTTTGGTTTCTTTTTTAGTTTGTAGAAAATAATAATACAATTTACTTAAAAAGAAAAAAAAAAAAGAAACAGCCTGGTGTGATGTGCTGCCAATTTTTTAGGAGAGAGGAAACGGCAAATATTTGAAGATAACCAAACACAGTCCATGGCATGGAAGTCCACACCCTATTGGTAATGAGTGTCTGACACAGCTTTGTAATCCACCTTAGTCTGTTCTAACTACCATGTTTTCCCGAAAATAAGACCTAACCAGAAAATAAGCCCTAGCATGAATGCTCGTAATATAACCCCATCCCAAAAATAAGTCCTAGTTTAGATTGTCAGTCAGACGGACAGGGATACACAGTAGTACGTACGTTGCAACACATGATAGATGTATTGAATTATAAAATAATAATGCTAATATATGTGGTTGCTAGTTGCGAAGTCGTGTCTGACCCATTGCAACCCCATGGACATCATTCCTCCAGGCCTTCCTGTCCTCTACCGTCCCCCAGAGTCCACTTCTCATGCCAACTGCTTCAGTTACTCCATCTAGCCACCTCATTCTCTGCCACCCTCTTCTGTTTTTTGCCCTCAATTGTTTCCAGCATTCATGGATCACTGCCTTGTTGTGGCGAAGGGGTTTGTGTAGCTCAATGAAGCTATGAACTATGCCGTGCAGGGCCACCCAAAATGGACAGGTCATAGCAGAGAGCTCTGACAAAACGTGATCCACTGGAGAAGGAAATGGCAACCCACTCCAGTATCCTTGCCACGAAAACCCCATGGACAGTTAATATATAATTAAATATAAATAAATAATATCATTGACATTAATACTTAAAATAAATGATAATATACATTATAATTATTTGTACATACTGAAGCAGTTGGATGAGAAGTAAACACCTATGTAAACAGATGAACGCGAGACTGCTTGCCGAATGACCAATCGGAGTAATCGGAGTACAGACACAACGCACGAATAACGTCAATACATCATTGTAACGGACGTACTTAATGCATGGCTGCAAAAAGAAAGAGCTATTCTGTCGAGTATAAGAAAGGAATCGTGGAGGACTCTCAGGGCAAGAATCTTATGCCTTTCTGCAAAGAGAAGTTGTATCTCCGAATGGTCCGAAAATGGTGAGCAGAGTACGATAACCTCAGTGAACAGGTGGATGAGAGAAATGCTAATAAACGCAAGTGTGGATCAGGGTGGCAACCATTATTTCCTGAACTGGAAGACATCATCTGTGAATGGATTGCTGACAGGAGAGCAAAAGCTTTGGTTATTTACAGGACTTATATTCAAGCATTTGCCCTTGCAATGGCACCACAGTTAGAAATATCCCTGAAAGAATTCAAAGCATCACAACACTGGCTGGATGGCTTCCTTCAGCGATATGAACTGTCTCTAAGAAGATCAACTGTTCAAGCTGGAAGATACTGAAGTTATTAAACATGAACTTGCATTCAAGTCCTTTGTTGATGGCACCAACTTTT